CCCTGCCAGTGAAGAAGAAGGGAGAAAGCAGAAATTAAAAAAAAAAGAGAGGCTGGACCCAAGTTTTTTAAATATCCAGCTCCAGTAAAGTGGAACCAGGGTGGAAGCCTACCGTCTAAAACCACCAAGCAAGATTGGACGTCCTACAGTAGCTTTTGGTCTGGAGCGCCTCCTCGGGCTCCACGTTTCCTGGTGAAATGGCCGTTGGTGCCGTGGTTGTCTGGAGCGGGGTTTGGGCAGAGCCATCGGCTCCCAGTTGGAGCTGTGTGCCGATGATTAGGCGCTGCTCAAACATCAGGGTGTGCTTGGGTGTGGAACTGCTGCTGTGGTTCATTGGGCACGGTTGGACTTACTCTCCGTTTGGATGATCTTGATCAGCTGTAGAGTCCTAAGTGCAAGAAGGGGAGAGGATCTGGCAGGTTTCACATAGACAGTTTTTACTTGGTCGTGGTCTTTCGAAGTCTTTAACAAAGGTCATAGGTAAGGGATGACATTGCTCTGTTAGTACTTTATTTTGCTGAGTGGGACAGAGACCTTTCAAGTGAACAGAATTTATGTTTTGATGGTGTTAAATTGTGGGGAGTACATGATGATTTGAATAGTATTGTTGACCTGTTCCCCACCATTTTGCGAGATCTGTCATATTACTTGGCAATTTTAAGGATATTGTATGTCAGTTGTATTGCCGTTGTGACTCCAGCATAGCCAGTGGGAGTTCTGTGAAGAGAACTTTGACCCCAAAAAGTTAGCGATAAAATTTTGTGTAAGTAACTTCTGGGACACGTAGAGGATCTTTGTCTGGTCTTGCCTTTCTTCAGATGCTTGGATTAGTTCTGGAAAGAAATAAAACTGGTACCTCTTAGGCTGATGGTAGCCATGCTGGTTTAGCATCTATTCTTTAAAAAATTCTGCTTTTTGATCATCTTTGTGTTGTTACAAGATGATGATGTTTGGCAGTTGGATGTGGGCTGCTCCTCGAGTACTACTGGGTGGCATATGCGTGATGCGGCTCAAGGAGTAACCTGGCTTGGACAGATTTTGTGAGAGAGCAGACTTGTAACCCAGTTTGCAGTGAGTTTTAAGCCCAGTTACTTTGCAGATGTCTGCATGGAGAAATGTGAATTGTGAGTAGTGTGGTTCAGAGCCTCTGAACCACTTCCTTTCTTCGTTACTCCAGCTGAACTACTTTTGCTTATCGTTGTGTAATATGGAAGAATTGTATCCACCAGAACAGGTAAGTGGAAGTATGGCTGTTCCTTTCTTGTTGTGTGAGGTGTTTGGAATATGACCACCTCAGCTGGTTAGGGTGTAAAACCTTCATCTACATGTTGGACATGGGAAAAGGTATATGCAGGGCTTTAATTATCAATCCATCTACATTGTGCATCTCCACTGTGAATTTCTCCATGAGAGAGGTCAGAAGACATGTCTGGAAAGCTGAAGAGTTTGTATGTCTAGTAGGTAGCAAGTGTGTAGATTGTAGTAGCTTCATTTAAAATGTGACTTAGCTTTGCCTCCTGGCTCTTTCCCACCCCAGAAAACCAACTGCATCCAAGGGACTCCTTAAAAAGCAGCTCTTAGAGCTGTGATGTCCCACACCAGTTAGCACATGAGGTGAAGTGCTTTGCTCTTTCAGAGCCGACACCTCTGTTCTCGCCTGGACACATCATTCTTTTCTGTCCTCCTCAACAACTAAAACATTTTGTGGATGGCAGGATGACCGTTAAATAGTTTCTGGATTTGAGCTTGAAATACATTTGGGCTATTGGTGTAAATAAATAATTTGGGGCTACTACACTCCTAGTTTCTCTGATTCCATTAGTAGCACCTGAGTTCTTCAAGGATTCTTAGTGAACTTCATCAAATAAGACTAACTACTCTGCAGTTGGGATTATTTAATACTGGCTGCAAAATTACTTTTGTTAAAGCCAATCATGATCTAGGAGCCGTGATAAAGCACATTTAAAAGTACAGACTGAATGACCTTTACCAACTTCTCAAAGTTTGGTGGCACTCAAGAAACTTAAGTATAAAATTGTAAGTTTTGGAAATAAATGGGCATGCTTATCCTATCAGTTCATTCAGTTTCTACTGTCATGTTTTTTAAAAGGATTTTCAACCTTTTAAAATTAAAGATCAATTCAGTATCTTTATATTGAATTAAAACAAGATCACAGACAAAATAACCTCAGTGTTTGGTTAACCAAGTGCTTTTTTTCTGGTTAAAAATGAAATGCCTCCTATTATATTTCTTCTAGGAATGTGAAACTGGTATTTATTCTAGAAGCAAAAGAACTGGGAATTCTGTGTACGGTGCTAGTCAGTTCTAGATTTTTGTATTAGAACCAAGACACTTTACATCAGAAGAAGTTACTTCCATTATATGATAGAAGGTAGGCATTAATTTTGAAGCTTAAGGTAAATAAATTTATTTTCCATTAACAGTGAGAAGTGCTGTATATATTTTAGTGTAATTCTCAGGCTGTATAAAATACTAGTTTGGCTTTGCTTGACTTCCATGAGCTTATGACCTCCAGCTTTTCAGAGTGGGTGAAAAAGTCACGGAATATTCTTTTTTTTTTTTTTTTCCTCATAAGAGGTAACCTGTTAAATATTGAAGAACTATGTACATATCCCTTATAAAGAACAAACTGAAAAGAAAGGACTTGACAGAGGGTTATTCACAGTGGTCCTTCAGTAAGGCAGCCCTAACACTGTTGGACGTGTTAATAGGAAATCCTCGTTAATTTTGGTAACAAACAGAAAGGATGATCTATTTACTCTTAAATACCAAGTTTCTTGATTCACATTAAAGTTGTTGGCAGTAATTTGAAGTAATATTTTGTATTTTCCATATACAATTTAGTTATGTTATCAGAACCTTCATGGTTCTCTCCCAAAGACTCTGGCATTAAAACCAGTTGAGATGGACTTAGAAGAGAAAAAAATTGATATGAGCAGTGCACCTAACTTTATTTTTCCTATTACAGAGCATCCAGTTTACTCCAATAATTGAGTATATGAATCAGTTACCAGTATTGTAGAGACGCTCATGAAACTAATTTTGATACGTTTCTTAAAATCTGTTTAATAACTTGGGGGTTTATATACAATGAACACAATTAGACATTCAGGGCCATTGACGTTGAAATCTGAAGTCTGATTTTAACATTGTGTCAGATTATATTACAACACATGAGGTAAGCGATGTTAAGATTTTTGCTAAACCTCTGAAGGGGACTGTCACATGTATATGTGTCTGGATCACAATAACAAAATCAGTTTTTAAAACCCAGCAGTTTTTGCATTAGTTGCTCTTTGTCGAAAAGTGATTTTTTTTATTTATGTTTTTTAAAATGGCATCTTCTCACTGAACTGATGGAAAGCCCTCAGATAGGAGGTTTGTCCACTGTGGTGACAAGGTTCTATTAAATCTTAATCTGTTTATGCTGCTGTGTAAGAATGAGCTGCAGTGTATTTTACCTCACGCGATCCACCCGAAAGATAATGTATTTCCAGATGGGTTACAACATCTCCCATTTATACCTGCACTCAGGTACTAGCACAGCCAAAACTTGAAGATAATAATGGCACTGTTTCGCCTGCTGAATCTTTATTACGTGTGGAGACCTGCAAATCAGAGAGAACAGGGCTGAGCTTTTGGATGCTGGCTTTGGTTTGCAGATGCAGAGTTTAGAAAATAGTCTTTGTTTTACAAAATGAGGAAATGCAAGGTTTTGAGCATCATGGCTTTCCATCTTGCATCTCTTTCAATAGAGTTGCCTTTTAGGAGAGACACATACTTAAACCTGTTTATTGAACTGGAAAACAGGAATCTATTTTAGAAGTATATAACACATGGATCTTCTAAGAGAGAGGTGACTTCCCAGAAAATGGTGTATTTAAGTAAACGTTAGTATTTCTCAACTTGAATCAACCTCTGTGTTCATATAATAGTTCCATCTTGAAGGAGCAGGTCTGATTTCATAAGCAGAAAACAGTGAGTTGAGGCAGGGTCTGGGGAGCAGAGAACAGAGCCAGGAACCTCCTGAGCAGCCAGGGGTGGGCACAGCGCTGACCTCCGCCCTGCCGGGCTGGCGACGCCAGATCAGCAGCTGCTCTTCTGCACCTAACACCTTGGGGTTTTAGTGGAAAAGCTCTACTGACAACTCCTGGAAGAATCAGCTATTTCTCTACATGGGGTCACTGATGTTTGTCATTATCATGTGATTGTCATTATCAGAATCAGTTTTTTAGAAGACAGTTTGCCCTCAAAATAAGGTAACCCCTGAGCAATATTACCCTGAATTAGTAGGACACTAGAAACTTTGCTGCCTGGTGAAAGTCTTCAGGACTCTGTACCAAATTAGGTGTGATTTGCAGGAGAGACAGTATCCTCCCATCCTAAAGCAGGCAATCATCTGGACAGTAGATTAAACTGAGGTATAAAGACACTAACAAAGAGTTAATCTGAGGTCCCTTCTGCCTGGGTCTTCTAGTCCTCTAAATTGAAGATACTGAGTGAATTTCAAAAGCCTAACTGGACAACTCTGGTAATTTCCATTATCTTAGTAAGAAATTCCAGTGTCAGCCACATATGGAACATTACAAGGCACAAAATGACTGTCTTGTTTACCTACAACGTCACCATGATTCCAACTTCCTCGTTACATTGTAAACTGCTGGGCATGTCTGGGGATACTGAAACCAGCTGAACTCTGATGCCTGTTACCATCTTGTTACAATCTTGATGAAGTGTTTTATCTGGATCAAATTGTTTCTCTCAAGATCTATGTCATAAGCATGCTCCTGCTTGGAAGGGCTACCGAAAATACGCTCTGTGTAACTTTCTAAACCTAAACACATGCTGTGAAGACTTCCCCACCAGGAAGGACACTGAACTGAGCACGCTCCCCTTCATTGTCCAGGTTCACTGTTCAGACCTATCCAAAGATTAAAATTACATACATATTTTCCCATGTTTTCTGATTGACAAATATAGTGATTTACCTTGGATTGGTCTTTGATTCAAAATTAAAACCCGGTAATAAACTCATTGTTTAATAATTCTGAGAGTTAAAATATTTGAAGAGAGACAGTTCAAATAATGGCAAAATTTAAATGTGGTCTAATATTGAAAGAAATTGGCTAATTATTTTTTTTAAGTCAATGGGGCAATTGTGATGGCCAGCTATGCTGTAAATAGCATTTCTTTGTCCATTCATTTGACTTTCAGCAGTATTACAGTTTCTTGGCTCTGTACATTTTCATCAGTGCAATCCCTTCTTATTGTTTCTCCTTACCCTTATATTTTTCAGACAATTTCTGTAGCACACTTTATGACCTGACACTGCCAAAAAAAAGATTAATTAAATAGTTAAACAGTTAACTGTTCCTTGTGTTTAAACTGTTAGAACAATATAATATATCAAACAATTTAAAATTAAATATTTGCAATGTAGGGCAACTAGTAGTGGGGTATGTGAATGCTGGCTTGCTTTAAATTCATGCAAATAAGAATTTTCTGGGTTGGACAAAATCATCCTTTTGGCCTGTTGAATGACAATGTCAGACTTTATTATCTAAACTTCAGACTGGTAAAACTGCAGAACTGAAGGGAAATAGACTTCAGTCCGTTTTCTTCTTCTACACAGAAAAAATGTATATTCCAGTACTATTTCAATACTAGCTCATCATCAATCATAATTTAAAATATTGTTGCAAATCTGTTAGGTCTCTCAAAACTTTCACAACATGTTGATATGACTGACCTGTGTAGGGAAAAATTATTCTTGTTGTGGCTTACCAAAGAAGGGGAAATAGGTTGACTCTTACAGAATTGTAAACAGCAGCAGTGTGATTGGTAGACTACAACAAAACACTACAACAAAAATAGTACTGAAAATATGTGTCAGAAAGACACTTTTCTTTGAAAACAGCAGTTGCCCTACTTGGGCTTTGCTAGATTTCTCAAAGGCCACCAATAAAAATCACAACCCATTCCTTCAGAGGGGCAAAACAGGAACAATGAGGATATTTTCTTCCATACAGCACTTTGCTGCATTTACTTAGATTTTGTGGGGTTTATTTGAAATCATCTTACAATAATGTAATCACTTGTGTGTGCTCAGCACCCAATGGATTAAGACGGGATACAAGGGACTACACACCACTAAGTCTGAGCTCCATTGCACTCAAATTAGTAGCACCTATAAAAAGAAGTAGTATCAGCAG